GGCCTCCTCTAAAAAACTTCATTGATTTCGTTGCGCGAGCAGGAATTACTTGCCATCCAGCACTTTTATTTTGCCATCAACGGTCGTCAAGTGTTAAAGCAAAATCGAAGGGTCATCATTGGAAAAAGCAACAAAGGGAAATCACTACTACCAACAGATGAAGATTCATGGTGGCATTCATTGCATCTGTGTGATCAGTAAACATCTGTATTCGTGAAAAATAGGTTGGTGGTATTCTACGAGTTTAAGAAATATATATTTTATACTAACTATATTTTGATGATTATAAAATAAATGAATTTGGTTTATTCATTGACACAATATTCAAGATTCAAGATTTTATGACGCTTTATACATCTTCCTTCCTAGGGGTTGCCTACGGGGGGAGAGAGAGGGAGCGTTAAGGCAGACCATGGTTCCATAGTATTTGGGCATCTGCAATGCCAGACGCGCCTCGTATTATTTTGTTCCCTAAAATTATCTCGCATTCAGTACCAACGATGTTTCAGGAGCTGATACCATACGCATTTTACCATATCCCAATATACTACCTTGTGAACATCAAAGTATGTTCGTACGTCTGAGAATTCGTATGCCAAATAATGCCTAGCTCCTCAAGGATCACATTGTAATTATATTGTGAGTGAAGACGACAGGGAGGTTGAATAAAGAGAACATTAGAAGTTAACCGAGAAGGAAAATATAAACCACAGAGAGAATCAACGAAAAATGGAAGAGCAGGAGCATAAAAAGGATGAGAAAACAAAGAAGCAGCAGTAGACGCCAAAGATGAAAGCGATAATCGTATTTAAAAGCTGAAAAAGGGGAAGAATGAGAAGAAAAAAATCGAGGCAGAAGAATAAGGAGGAAAAATGATTGATGAGTTTACAAAACGTCAGTCAGCATCAACAGAATCAAAATTGCCAGCGGCAATTGAAGACTAATGCCGTACTCACCTGTAGCGAGGTCAGAGTGAATCAGCAGCTGAAGAAATGCCATTACAAACAGCCATAATATATGGAACACCTGGAATTGCTATGCCTTGCATTTGACCCGTATGTCCAGTTGGAGGAGGAGAGAAGATATTATGAAAAAAACTCCTGAGAATGCATTTCCAACCACTCACAAAACTGAGTGTTTCGAAGATACATAAATCGGCATATGCAACCAGCTAAATTAACTCGCTTCCTTCGTGAGATTTGAAAGTTTTTGCTTTAATGTGATACAAGAATGATAGAAGACCGTTGCTCTGCTAATCGCTGTCGAAAATTTAGATCTTTAATCACAATGTCACAATATCCATTTCCTTCGAATGCCATGACATTTTTGCTATTGATTTATAAGTGCTTTTCTTTAAATGCGAGTAGCCAAAAACTGAGATTTATGACGAAGTCTTGGAGAACTCTTCGTCCATCGGTGGACTGATCAAGACTGATGGCGATGATATATTTTATCATGTTAGCATTCGGATGTGCTAATTTAAGGCCTTTTTCAACTCGAGCCTGGAGCTGTGTACAAACTCGTCGTTCGCGATGAGGCGATTTTCCTCAGCAGCTAGCCAGCTATGACGAGTCGGATAATTTCGATCAGAAAATACGATTGGTTCGCTTATTCGTCCAGCGGAAAACGGACAATCTGATCTTTGTGTGCAATCGATTTTTGGACGGTACGCGTTTTGATGCCAGTGCGTAAATCTGATTATCACTCGAATGTTTTTCGCATATCCCACTTGCGATGTTAATGCTGTTTGTAAGGCTTATCGCCTTATTCCGAGCCTATATGATGAGCATTGATTTTCCTTCCTCTGCCATGCTGGGCGAAGACGATTCCACTCTTGGCCGGCGTATCAATAGCCACGGGGCAATGGACTCCCCGAGGTCTAAAAGTTAAACACTTTGCAATGTTTCGAAAATCGCAGGCGATGATAAAAGCCTAAGGGGAAGAAGGAAACGACAGGATAATTAGTCTACATAAATTAAAGGGGGGGGCGGGCAAGATCAGAGCGTGAAAAGGCAAATGCCACTTATTCACATGGTGTTTCCTTTTCTACCTGTATTTGTTTTGATCACGTTTTCGCCTCGTTTTCCGGTTTCATGAGATCACGTTAATCTTCTGCGTTTATAAGAAAGAAGCATTCATACACAAAGGCATGACATGTCGCCGCCTCATCATTAACTCACCCTCGTTCACCTCGCCCAGGGATCAGATTAAACTGTCGCAGCTATAATGAAGGATGAAGTCGCTAATTTCCTCAGCAGTGAAAGAACGTGACATGAAGGTTGAAACTCTCAACTAAAGAGGGAATGGTGACCAACGATTGACAGATCTCTTTATGTTTTTAATGAGAATCATTTTACAAGGAGAAAGACAGTGCAACAAACCTGGTTAGCATGATTTGGTGCAGAGGCATAGTACTTATTAACTCTTAAAAATTGGATTGCATAAATTTGTCCGATGATTGGTTGCAAACCGCATTTGGAAAATTTATTTTCTGTCACTGAAAGATGTCATGTCTTTATGAGCAAAGACCTGTTTAGCGGTCTGCAAGCATTAAATTCAGCGATTAAGTTGATAATAAAGAAATAAACTAACGTACTCACGGAAGGAATGGTAAAATCCTTCTCTCATGCTAGAGACCCATTTTAAAGGACGGCGAAA